CAATATTTTAGTGTGCCCTTTGCTAAAGACATGTCTAGTGTGATTGCCCTAACGACTTGATGTTAGTGTGAATCTTTTAGTCCTTACGAAAGAAGCACAAGTGGGGTGTGATAGAATTGCATAGGCTAAGGTTTGTTGCGAGTTAAAATTTTAGAGCCCCAATCCACCTCTTGGGGCCATTCAGTCCTTACACGACCTAGCTCCCATGTGTTGTGAGCCAACATATACATAGCACATATCTTACACTTTCATCCTCACTTCATGTAAAAGGGTTAACATAGAGGTGCTAAGTTTAGAATGGCAAAGATCATAAGCTAGTCCAAATCTATTTAGACACTGGCTCGCTCCCCTCCGCCACTACTAGCTCCTCTCCTCAACCATCAGCTCCTATACCACCACCATGGGCCATGATCATTCCCGAATCACCACCGTAGGCCCCTCCTCTATCATGGGCCCATGCCCTATGCATAACTTTCCATCACTAACTTCCTCATCCACCACCACCAGCTCATGCTCATCCCAGTCCACCACTAGCCTTCCTTCCTTCCTGTGTCCATGTCCATACCTAGTTTTGAGTGCATCAAAACCACAACCGCCTTCTCTTTCTCTTTATATGCTTGTGTACCATATGTGAATGTTGTGTCATGCATTGAAATGTCTTGGATGAAACGGTAGTTGAATGCCCTATACTATAATCACCAATTCGCTTTCCACCAACGATCTAGTCACCAAGACTAGTTTTGTAGCTATGCATCTAGCCCTAGAAACTATATGATAAAAATAAACAAACACCATACAACACACAATAGTGTAGGGGCAATAAGGTCAGAAGAAAGATTAACTCAAGTAAAAGTAACAAGATACATATAAATGTCACCTATAATTAGATCTTGAAGATCAATCTAGATAATGTCATGAAGCTCTAAAGGATCAACCACATAGGAAGATCATATTGAATCCTTGCAGTACCGCCATTGTTGCTTGATTTGTAGTGTTGGCACGGTGTTGCCTCCTAGTACGAGGGTTCCCTTCACAACCCTTTGTTTTTTGTTCGCAAAAAATCTCTACCCCAATCGACGTATATGAAATATATAAGGTCTAAAGAAAAATAGCGCAATATGGGGTATGGTTTCTCCATGTGCACACAACGCCAAGCGGTGCTGTGTGCCGCCTGGTATGTTTCCAAATTCCTTTCTCTCCGTTGAAGGTTGCTTTGTTAGCAAAGGATTGACTTGGTAGCTTCCACGGCGGTGGCATCGAGCGGTGTGTGGGCACCTGTGCGCGCAAGGGGGGACAACAGAAACGTCAAAACTAGTAAGCTAATTACTCACAAGCATTTCACCGAACACCTTATGTGCATATAACAAAACAACCCAATAACATCGATTCTCCAAACATGGTGTTATCCAAACTTCACAATAAGGAATATACTTGCAAAGATCAGCTCACTAACACATCAATCCCCATCATCAACATCCCAAAGAACCCATGTATGCCTCATATATCAAATCATACCATACGCCACTTGAAGAAAGTGGAGCCAATAGAAAGCAAGATAGTGAGCAATCAACATATATGGCAAGAAAAATACTGAATCACAGGAAACCCTTGCAGGGAAAAACCAGCTTATATGATGAACCAGCACGAAACGGTCATAGAGATATTCGTGTTGGTCCGTATTATGACTTTACGAGTTAGCATGGATTATGTTAGTCAAAACTGTATCACAATCCATTAAAACCCATTGCTTTCGAGATCCTGGTAGACCATTGCTTTCGAGATCCTGGTAGACCATTTTGCATAATAGTATAGCAAGATAAACTCTGCTTATGAAGGATTTTTGGATGCCTGAGAACAATTTCTTAAACATCATAAAATATTTTTTCACAAACACGCAGACTTGCGCGTTTTTCATTAAGAGGGGAGACATCATAAAATATTTGGCAATACATAGAATGATATGGTCAGTGAAGCTTCTCTCAATTCATCCGCTGGATATATGCTTTGCATTATGCGCTATTGCTTCCAGTAAGAACACTAGGGAAAGCTATTACCATCTTAAACATTTTCGTGTATTGTCTGGAACTGAGATAAAGTATTTACTTCCATTTTAGCAATGTTGTTTGCCTTTTTATATCATGCTTTCACATTTTACAGTTATTTATATTTCTAGATATCGATGAGTGTCAAATACTAGGCATTTGCAAAGAGAACGAGGTATGCCACAATGTTGCGGGGAGCTATGATTGCACCAAATGACCTGGTAAAACAGAGTACGATGCAACAACTAAGCAGTGCACAGCAACAAAACGACAGAATCTTCTTTTGGGTATGTTCTCTTCGGTTTTCTGAACTAAGTTCTAGTAATAAATCACAGTATGAAATTGGCAAAAATCTTCGTAGGTGTGATCATTGGGCTTTGTGTTGGCTTTGGCATTCTACTATCTTGCTTGGGAGGGATGCTTCTCATCCGTAGATGGAAAAGGGACATTCAAAGGAAACTTGGAGAAAATACTTCACAAAAAACCAAGGACTTCTCCTAGAACAACTAATATCATCTGATGAGAACGCTAGCAGCAAGACAAAGATTTTTTTCTCTAGAAGAGCTCAAAAAGGCTACAAATGACTTTGATACATCACATATACTTGGACGTGGAGGCCATGGAATGGTTTACAAAGGTATCTTGTCAGATCAGCGTGTAGTAGCAATAAAAATTTCAAAGATCATGGAGTAAGATGAAATTGATAATTTTATCAATGAGGTCGCCATTCTTTCTCAGATAAATCACCGCAACACAGTACGGCTCTTCGGATGTTGCCTTGAAACTGAGGTCCCGCTTCTTGTGTATGATTTTGTATCTAATGGTTCTTTGTTCGAAATTCTCCATGCTGATGCAAGCAACGATTTCCAATTGTCCTGGGATGATTGCTTAAGGATTGCATTAGAGGCTGCAGGAGCACTTTATTATCTCCATTCTTCAGCTTCAGTATCAATCTTCCACCGTGATGTGAAGTCTTCGAATATACTTTTGGATGGAAACTACACTGCAAAAGTTTCAGATTTTGGTGCGTCAAGATTGGTTCCTATTGATCAAACCCATGTTGTTACAAATGTTCAGGGCACTTTTGGGTACTTAGATCCTGAGTACTACCACACTGGGCAATTAAATGAGAAAAGTGATGTGTATAGCTTTGGAGTGGTACTTGTGGAGCTGCTCCTTCGAAAGAAACCAGTTTTTACAAATGAGACCGGGACAAAGCAAAATTTGTCCAACTACTTCCTTTGGGAAAAAAAGATGAAACCAATTACAGAGATAGTGGCTACTCAAGTTCTCGAGGAAGCAACAGAGGAAGAAATTAACATAGTTGCCTCCCTTGCTGAGAAGTGCTTGAGACTCCGCCATGAAGAAAGACCTACAATGAAGCTAGTAGAAATGACTCTACAATTTTTGCGAGCAGAACGGTTGAACTCAAGAAGTGCTGTTCCTGCGAGCAAGCAAGAGTTGGAAGAACTTTTAGGTCCAAGCACTTCCTATTCCGACTCTTGGCTTCTGACTCCTTGATGGACAATAAAGCTACTACATCATCCCAACAATCAAAGGGATATTATAGCTTGGAGCAGGAGTTTGCTTCTTCTACTCTGCCGCGTTAGATGTGTAGTGTACACTGTACTTATTCTAGTTATTAATCTGTGCGGGTGGTGTACAGATTTAGTAAAAACTAAAATACTGGAACGACTTTGGTGCGCCTATATGGCCCCCAAACTCGGACGTTATGTACTTATACGATAATGGCCATGTAAATAGGTGTTTAAACTGGGTTGTTCGAATGGATATATATGTAAGAAAGGCAACGGTGTATCATGGGCTCCTTGTAATGATGGAAATAATGAAACAGACATGGTTTTGTAACTAGTAAATATGTAACAAATATCCATAAAATTTATCATTTGCACTTAAGTAATTGGTGTCTCTGAATTTGAGTGAGTCTACTGTTTTCTTTTACATATGGAAATATTAGTGTGATTAATTGAAATTGACTAATTGTAAAATTACATGTTATTCTGTCACGAAAAAGTATAATAACAACGTGAGCAACGTAACAGCCCCTTGAAACGGATTATTACAGATTCTTTAGTTCATTACTTCATTACTAACAATCTGCCGAAAGCACTCTCTAGTAGTAGTAGATATCATCTTCATCTCTATTCTGCGACAAGACCATATGTTGTAGGTTTACTACGCACCCTTACTACGCACCTTGTTCCCAGTGATCAGACATTACAATTCATGCGTGCTGAAAAACACAGGCTCACAGCACCGTCTTATCGTGTGGGCTGTCCACACACCAATGGCAGACAGCAGACTAGATGCTAGATTTTCATATGAATGTCAGTATGCGGTTACCGGTTGAGGTGTGGACTAGTTCTTTCATCCTATTCTGTGTTTGGAGTCCCTGGTTCCAGTCATCCCCCAACCTCCCTGTCAGATGCTATTGTCGGATTCCCGTCAGAGTTTTTATGCTTCTCTGTTCAGTTTCAGGTTTGCCCGAGCTGTCATTATTGTTGTACTTGTACCTCATCACTCAGGCTACAAATTTTGCACTGTGCATGTCAACAAATTTTGGAATTGGGTACTAAGAAAAAAAAGACAACATGAACCAAAGTAGCTTGCCCGATTCGTGTGCTCTTTCTCTGCAATTTAAGCGGAATAATTAATATTCACAACTCATGTAACATGTCAAAAAACATTACATGTCTGAATCGTTCCTGCCCTGCAATGGAATTCCGACCCCGGTAGAACGGTAAAAACCTAGTACAACATATCCATGGAACGCCACAAGAACGAAACTAGAAGTGCAAAGTGCCATAGTCTGCAACACAGATCACGGGTCGACTTCTTAGTCGCTGGCGTCGCCCAGGCGCGGCCGGCGGACGACGACGCCCTCGTTGGCTTCCTCGCAGGAGTCGATCCACTCGCTATAGACGTCGATGGGCTCCGTCAGTGCGTTGGCCTTGGTGGGTAGGTCTCTTTGCAGACGCTGCACAACGCCGCGGCGAACGGACGGCGTGCCCTGAGGAAGATGTTGCACTGGACGGCGCCCGGGTGGTTGCAGAAGGGGCAGGTGAAGTCCGTGTCCAGCTTCGGCGCCTTCTTGGGCTCCGCCATCAGCTTCGACGTCCTCGACTTCCTCTTTCCCATCGCTAGTGCAGATGCAGCGCTGAAAGATTGATCTCGACAAGAGCCGCGCTCGCGAGAGAGGGTTGATCTCGGCGAGAGCCGCTGACGTGAAGAATCGATGGAAACGGGAGTGTGGAGAGTGATGGTGCGACGAGTTGAATTGCTAGCTGAGGCGGGCGGCATGGGCGTGGTGCATATATGGAGCGAGCGGCACCGCAGATCGGACTCCAACTCACGCGTGCGTTCCACGGTCCGAGTTCGAGTTCGAGTTCGAGTTCGAGCGAGAAAAAACGAGTCCAATTTGCTGTTGAGCAAAGTTACAGGCTTCCCAGAGGATGTCGTGTAGGCGCATTGCAATGCGGTGGCCACGGTAGCCCGGGGGGCTGTCCACCGGGAAATAAATGGGTGAATTTTCTGTGTGACATTAAAAATAAATAAAAAATAATGCCCTATGTGCTTTAGAAAAAATTCAGCGGTCTTTAATCTTTTAAGACTAATTCAACTTTTTTGAAAACTCCATTATCAATAACAACGAAAAAATGTTGCAATGCATTTTGCAAAAATGCTTCGCATAAAAATATGCCCTTGGACAATGCGGTTTAAATATAGTTATTAATTTTTGAGCATCTTAATTGACTTCGAAAAAACTCAAAATTAAAAACCTTGTAGATCTCGATTGAGATCTATAAATTTTATCGGACAAGTTATTTTCATTTAATTGGGGCCAAAAATAATTTGATATGATTAATTGCTCTGCCACATGTCGGTAATGGAGCCTAGGGCTGTACGCGCAGTGCAATGGACCCATCGCCCACCCAATTTATTTCTGTCCACAGACGCACCACCCATGACGCGTTCAAGGCAGCCGCAACGGGCCGTTAAGGACCCTCTATAGGAGTCCAGGTAGGGGAGAGGGGTGAGGACTGCCGCCAGGCCTGGCGACGGCTGCTACCCTCCTTTTCACGCAGCTAGGTCCTGCCAGCCCAGGCAGTTTCTACTTCTCCTTCTCTCTGCTAGCGCTGGAAAACTTTTCTTATTAAAAGAGTCTATCTACGACTATGTATTTTATACAGTTTCAATATATAAATTTTTTAGAAATCTATAATTAAGATCCAATTTGTCCTATCTACCTCCGTGGACATGTTATAGCGAACATATTGTTGCGGGGGACCGAGCCTCAACTCTGATGGTTTATGTAGTTTCAACACATAAATTTTTTAACAAAATAGGATTAAGATCCAACAGCCTCCACCCTTCTTCCTGATTTTCACCGTGGGATTTATTCTCAAAAATCACAATTTCACAAGTTCTAAGAAATAATTTTTTTCTATAGAAGGACAAATCATAGATCGCTGAGGTGTTTATGTGTTCGTTATGACATGTGGGCCTCAGACGTCATAGATAAAAAAAAATCATGTGTTTTTTTTTACTAAAATATATATGTGTTGTATAGTATTTCTGTATTAAAAAAAGTCTCGGTAACTGTACTGCTATAGTAAGATCACTGCACAAGAAATCTATAATATTTGTTATATCCTACGTGGACATGTTATAGCGAACATATTGTTGCGGATGCCCTCAGCGACTCACGGGGCGGCGTGAAGGCCCTGGCGGGTTCGGAGGCGAAGGACGGTGCGCCGAGGTGGTGCGACGTTGATGTGCCGCCCGTCCATTGACAGGTGGGTCCCATGCCCCAGACTCCAGAACATGGTGTGGGGATAGCCAGCGCCCAGCGACTCCGATGAGTGGGCCATGGAATCATGTTATGGTGGAATCCGGCCAGGCACGATCGATCTATTTTTTTTATGAATCTGTCATCAGCCAACCAAATATCATCACCGGCGTAGGGCGGTGGTTTCCTGTCTACAATGTCGGAAGTACTACTCAGTACTCACGAGTTTTTTTAACAAAGAAAAAAGAGAAAACATTACACTTGATGTCATAATCATTTTTTGACTAAAATTAATCAGGAAATGGTGCCTAGCTACAGCCGTGATCGCCGCACCAGCATCTACAGAAACAAGCCCGCCAACCGAGCCCGTTCGAAGAAGCGAGGGCACCCGCCAATCTCGCGCATGGAAGATTCCACGGCGGATGACTCGCGCAACTCGAAACGAGCAAGGCGGCTAGCCCCACCACCCGGCGACGTCGTCGACCGGATCAGCGGCCTCGACGACGACGTGCTCCTCCATATCCTCGAGCTGGTGCCCGACGCGAGGGACGCGGTGCGCACGGGCGCGCTCTCGCGGCGGCGGCTCGGTCTCTGGACGCGCGTGCCCGAGCTCCGCTTCGCTTCTCGGTCGGCATCCACGGCTGACCTGGAGCGGTTCGTCTCCTTCGTGAACGGCGTCCTTGCCCGGCGTAGCCAATCCGACTGCACCATCGAGAGCCTGGCGATCTCGTCTGCCGCGCACTACAGCACAGCCTGGAAAACCGGATGCCAGGGTCTCCGGCTGCCTGGCAAAGGGTAATCTCGCCGTGTCCAATCTCAATCTACACGATCTCTGCGTGCAAAATGATGCAGGCGTCCGTCGATGCCGTGCAAGGGTGGATCCGGTACCCAGTTCGGTACAGGGTGAAGTCTCTCGACGTGGACCTAAATCTGCGTTCCAACAATGTTTCTGTTATGATCCTAGACCAGGGAATCACACAACAACAACAGTTCTTGGTAGTTTGGGATACATTCTCTGGAGAATAGAAAAGAAGAGAACTGGGTACAGATTTGAGGAAATCAGAGACCAGAAGCAAGAACAGCAAGGGGGTTCAGGAGGAAGAAGAAGACAGGTTCAGAGACCGAAGACAGGTTCGTTCACGTTCTGTTCTGGTTCGATAGGCTCTCCCGATGGCTGCTCTCCCCGATGGATGCTCTGGTCTTTATTGTGCTGCTCCTGTCCCGGCCCAGCTTGGGCGTTTTTTTCCTGCTCCTGTCCAGGTTGGGAGCTTATCCAACGGCCCCGTCGCTGACATTCCCCTCCGCTTGAAATGCGGCTTGCCCTCAAACCGCTCTTGAAACCTTCGGGATCCCATGGAGCTTCTAAATCTTGCATGCAGATTATCAACTCACTTAGCTTGGTTGGAAGTTCCTGCGCCTTATGGGTGTACCTGCACACATGGATTAACTCCTGCTCAATCTCATCATTGCCAGGATCCACTTTTTGTGCATCTAGGAGAGCGTCATAAGCTTGCCTGTCGATTGCCAGCTTTTTCCCAGCCAGGCCTCATCATCCTGCACTGATAAGCGTCTGATAGAGCTCCTTCACCATCACTCATTCTCAGTTTACAGAGGCTTGTAGCAAACAAAAGCTTCCTGCAAACACAGCTTGGTGTAGAACTGTGCATCCCTTTGCATCTTGCTGCAGTCCATATCCCAAAGCATAGGGCAATTTAATTACTTGCACTAATTGTAAATGCCAAGACCTCTCCACTGGACCAGTCATTGTCCAGCAATGTAACGAGATGATCTTTTGTAATGCACGGCTGTTTGACGAGCCTGAACCTGTCCGGGTGCGGATTGCTGAAGCTGAACGGCAAATGAATGCTGTAAATGCAAGTATTACTCCCACTATTCCAAATTAGAAATGAAGAAAAGCTATGTAAGAATCCTGTTTCAAATATACAACCTGGAGTGAGCTGTGGGAGTGTCGAAGAAAAACCACCAAAGGTTCCTCTCTCGTATTTTAGAGCTATGAAGGTTTCTGTTTATCAAGTCTATATGTTGGTGACATTAGCTATTATTTTTTTATTTAACTTGTTTGCAAACAGGATTAGGAATCTATCTTTTTCCCAACCAATATATCTATTTCCTAAATAATTTCTTTGGTTTCTCTATCAAAAGGATTATCTCAATTGGTTGTCAGCTGGTTTCATAAGCATCAGTTAGTATTGGTTTGTTAGAACTTATAAGAAAGGGTGCACTGGCATTCTCAACTAGGAAAATATGATGTGCTTCCAGACATGTAAACTACATATGCATCAGTTACTATTCAGTCTTACCTCTTCAAATGCTGTCTATTGTAGTATTGTACCACACTAAAGTACAGATCAAATTAGTGTTTCCATTTTGAAATGGTGAATGGTAGTTCACCATGAACTGTGTAGCAGATTTTAATGATCCACTATCCTCCTGCAACTTTGCTCACTCAGATCCACATGCAAACTTGTTGTAGCTTTCAATAGCTTGTAATGCAGCTTGTCAACATGCAACACATTCTCATTTCGATGTGCTCTTTTATTATTAGATCAGAGCCGTGAGAAGTCGAAGAAAGATCCAGGAGATAGCTTTCGAGTCCTTGTTCAGAGAGCGGCTTCTGCTGCATCAAAGCTTGCGAATAGCATGCCTGAGTCTGCATCTGCTAACAAACCAATGGATGATGAGCTTGTGCCTCTGAAGTGCTGCTTGATGTCTGTTTCTCTTCCTTGGGACTACATTGCCCATCAATCACTATTTACTTCATTTTCATGTACTTCATTTTGTCATTTTGTTATGCCACTGTGGCGCCATAAAAGGCTTTATTTTATTTAGATATAAAATCCCAAACAGGCAAGAAAGATTCAATGTTCTATATAAAAAAAAGATAGATTCAGTGTCTAAATTCCAAGTGAAGTACCAAAGTGATAAACATTTTTTTCTCGAATACGCAAAAGATTTGTGCATCATTATAATTAAAAAGAAGAGTTTAAACATACAAATGACATGCTTCTGACGAGCGCCCTCAGAGGTCTTACAGCCATAGGCTGGACCGTCCTAGCAAATAAATTCAAGCTTCGATATTACATAAAAAGGTCTACAACCGAGCTAAGAGCAGCGCTGCAACCTACGAAGCTGGGCGCCTTCGCTGCTGGTTGCGCGATCTTACTCCGGCGTCGAAGAAGAGTTTTGTACCAGCTCTGTTGTTGGTCACTGGGAATAACTCGTCGAGAGCTTCAACTTGGCTCGACTTCAAGTTCCCTGCGAAAATGGCGTTATATGCTCCCTTGGACGTTGAAGAAACTGGTGCCGGCGGCGGCGTGGTACCCATCCT